TGGGAATCTGCCAATCCAATATCACTGTCTTACCTTTTTAAACTAAACAAAACAAAACAAAACAAAAAAAGACAATTCCAGTCCTAATAACCACCGGGAAGCATTTCTTGCTCAATTTATTCTACTTTTTCTACAGCAAGTTCCAGTGGATCAGTATATTTGATTTGGGAGAAATGAAGTAACAGCCGCCCAAATTGAGTTTGCGCACTCCTGAATTTTGAGGTGTTCAAATCTGGAAGGCAGGTGCTAGATTCCAGATTTAGCTAATATTCAGAAAGGGAAAGGAAAGGTCAATTTCTGCTTCCATGGCTCAGAAGTGGAAATCCTCCTACGTGCCTGGTACTGTATCTAAAGCTGCCCAGTCTAGTAGAGCCTCCCCTCCCTTACTGTTCATTTTAAATTCTAGTGGGATCCACGTACCTCCCTTGCTAGGCTTCAGATAGAGAGGGGCACTGTCCATTTAGTCCCCCCAATTCCTTCTTTGGGGGCTGCAAGGTGAGGTCACACCAGTATCCCTAATCCAGTCTGGGGATGTCTTCTGAAGGGGATATCTGGGCCAAAGCCTTCTCCTTGGGCTGGGCACACTTGTTCCCCATTCATAGTGCCACCCCTTTCAACTCACAGCAAGCTGCAGCATGGCTCAGCTACGTCACTCCTTCCCCCTCCCTTTCCTGTTGATAGCTGCCAAGGGAATGCTGGGAAATGTAGTTCTTTCCCTGCTCCAGGGCTGGCTCTATAGGCAGGGAGCTAACCAAGGAACCACAGCTCCCATGCTGGATCCCCAGCTGCTCCCTGGCTCTGCAGGGTTGTGAGAGGGGAAGAAGTGAGTTAAAAAAAAAATGGCCCAAATAAGGTGGGTGAGGAACCAACTAAGGGGAGAAGGCTGAAAGATGAACTATGGGGCCAGAGGGAGGTTCCTAATGGAATTCTTCAAGGATGTGTCTTGGGATCCATCTTCATTAATCTCTTTACTAGTGGTGTTAACACAAAAAGTAAGAGGGTGATAACAAAATTTACTGATGATAAAAAGCTGGGAAACGTGGTCAGTCCAGAGGAGGGTCAGAATATTATACAGGAAGATCTGGATGTCCTTGCAGCCTGGAGTAACAGAAAAAAGATGAAATTTAATAGTACCGGGTGCAAGATCCTGCATCTAATCCTAAGAATTTCTGCTGTATGCTGGGGGCTCATCAGTTAGAGGGGACAGAGGAGGGGCGAGACCTTGATGAGTTGGTGGATTACAGGATGATGGAGCCACCAATGTGATGTGGTCATGAAGAAGGCAAATCTCACCCTAGGATGTATCAGCTGAGGCATTTCCAGTAGATAGAGAAGCATTAATGCCATTGTACATGGCACTGGGGGGGCTGTCATCTGGAATGGAGGGTCTGTCTTATGAGAGGAGAAAGGGAGAGCTTGGCTGGTTTAGTCTGGAAAAACGAAGGCTGAGAGGGGATCTGATGGCTCTCTATAAATACATCGGGGGTGGGGTAGACACCAGGGAGGGCAAAGAGCTGTTCTACATAAAGGCCAATGTAGGCACAAGAACAAATAAGGATTAACTGGCCAAGAACAAGTTCAGGCTGGAGATTAGAAGGTTTCTAACCATCAGAGGAGGGAGGTTCTGGATCAGCTTCCAAAAGGATCTGTGGAGCAAACAACTTGATTAGTTTTAAGATAGGTTTGGACTCATTTGAGTGTGATTGCATGACAGGGTTGCTGGTGGTGGGGGGGGGTTGGGCTGGCCAACTCTGGGGTCTTTTCTGGCATATGTCTTATGGTCCCAAGTCTCAGCACCCACCAGCAGCTCCCCGCCCCCCCTTTCCAGCTCACCTACGCCTCCTCTGTGAGCATGTCGCTGCATCCTGCTTCTCCCCCCTCCTTCCCAGCACTTGCACAGCAAAACAGCTGATTTGCAGGGCAGGGATGGAAGGGGAATGTGGTGTGCTGGGGGAAGAGGCGGGGCCGGGGTGGGAATTTGAGGAAGGGATCCAATAGGGACAGGGAGGGGGTGGAGTTAGGGCAGGGACGTTGGGTGGGATTGGAATGGGGGTGGGGCCAGGGGTGGGGGTGCGGGGGTCGCCGGGCACCCACAGATGCCGGAGAAAGTTGGTGCCTATGACTCCAAGTGAGTGTCAAAGAAACCTGCTTACCGCCCCACCTCTGTATCCTGTATCTGCCACAGAAGGAGTGAAGAGAATCAAGAGAGTTTTCCGGGGTAACCTAGGGCCGGAACCGCAGGGTGGTGTGGTGGGATTGAGGAGTATTGACAAACCTATGGTGGGGGGAGCCGAGGCCTGGGCTAGCTAGGAGCTGCAGGTCGGACTTGAGGGGCAATGAGGTGTTTGTCTACACTGAGACCTCTCGTAGCCTGACATGGTTGTCCAATTTGGTTCCTTGTTCAATCTTTTTGCCTTCATCCCTCTGCCTGCATGGGCAGCACAAACCTCCCTGCACTCGGCCTCTAACCCAGCCGCGGGGCTCTGTGCTTGGATTGTAGATTTCAACCACGCTCCGTGCCTTGCTGTGAACGTCACATTGCAGCTGCCACTGGGAGATGCTGTCAGGGCCAATCCCCCGCTCCCCACAGAGCCCCAGGATGACCCTGAGAGCAGCGATGTGGAGGAGATGGAAGTGGAGGAGATGGGAGAACAAGAGGACGAGGAGATGGACGTGGATTAGAACATCGCTCTGAATCTGATCTGTCTAGTGCTGGATGTGCAGATGGACCATAGGATGTGCCCATGTGGGAGGGGCATTGTTTACAGACCTAGATATCTCAGGGATTTTTTTAATGTATTTTATTATGTTCTCCTTTGCACTTACAAGACTTTAAGCAGATTAATGAATGTTCTGTTTCCAGTGGTGTCACCGTGCCGACAGCTCTGGGATTCAGACACGGTACGGGTGGAGTAGGGTAACATGCATCAAATCTCTTCAATCCAGACAGCGTGAGCAGAGAGCAGACGAACGATCGACAGGCTCTGTGTTGACCTGGTGTGAGTCAGAGCAGCCTTGAGGCTGCTGTAACATTCTGCTCCCCAGCGGCCCAGGAGCAGAGCACGTGCCGAGCCTTCACACCAGCCAGGGAGACGCCTTGTGCAGGGGAATTTTCCAGGGCTGTCTACACCCATTTTAAATCCCCTTTGCCTCCCAGAGTTACCTAATGGGGCAGAATGGGACTGACTTCAGGCAGCAGTTTGGTCTCAAAGCCAGTGAGAACCAGCAGCTGCCCAGGCCTGGCTGTGTCTGACACCCGTAACTAGGGTGACCAGATCACCCAAGTCAAATATCGGGACACGGGGGAGGGCAAAAAAACAAAACCATCCCTCCCCCTCCTCCACAAGCGCTGGAGGGAGGCCCCGGAGACGCAGGGGAAACGCGGGGCTGGGGTGAGTGAGAGTCCAGCCTGGCCCCGAGAGCAGGCAGGACTCAATTGGGCGGTAGGGAGAGGAGGGGGGCGGCCCACAGGGCCAGGTGGCGGCTGTTCTCCCCCCCGGGCAGCAGGACTTGGGAGCAGCCGCTGCTGCAGCTCCCACTGCCGCGGGGGGAGGAAGCGGCCGATGGCCAAGCTTGGCGGCTGCGGCTCTGGCACCCCCGAAACCCCCTGAGCCCGGGTCTGCTGCAGGGACCCAGCAGCGCGTACGCTGGGCCCAGCCCCTGGCCAGTCGCGTCTGGGCTGCTGCCCAGCTGGTGCTATCCCGTGGCGGCCCCGGAGTGGGGGCAGCAGGCCCCAGCCCCCCTGTCCTGCTCGGGTCCCGCAGGGGCTAACGTTGGTGGGGACGCGGGACAAACAAGGAAATATCGGGACGTCCGGTCCCCCTTCCTGTAACAGACCTGCCGTGTGTGAGATACGGGTATGGATTCCATGGCTTGAATGCAGCTCCAGTCCTGGGTGTAACAAGGCAGCGGCAGAGCCCGACTGCTCCAGGTCTTAGGACTAAGGTTAATTGGGAATTTTTCATCAACTCTGTTTTTTAAAAGAAAAATTGGGTTTTCAGCAAACTCAGATTTTTCACAAACTGGCTGTTTTCTGTGGAAAGTTTTGTTTTTACCACCACCCCCACCCCCAATGTCTGAAAAACAAAATATTTGCACTAAACCAAAACAATGTCAGTCTGTAGAGCCTGCTGGGATGCTGCAAGGGAGCTGTTGTCCAGGTGCCTCATGTCCCCATTCTGCTCTGTGGGGACTCGCCTCATTCTGGCTGGCTGGACTACATCTCCCATGATGCACCATAGTCAGGGACACCCATGCTACAGCTGGCTCCCCTCTCCCTGAAGAGAGACCGTGGTGCACCATGGGAGATGCAGTCAGATCAAGAAACCGCATAACCTCTTGAGAAAAATGCACCGTGTTATATGTTGTTTCATGTTATGAATTAGTTCAGTTCAATGTAATCCTACCATGAGGCATCATGACAGCATTACATTGAACTGAAATATTTTGGTTTTCAATTTTTTCCCTAAAAGTTGATCTTTCTGTAGAAAATTTCAGTGAAAATTATTTCCCCTTCTTTTCATCAAAGTTTTCCATGGGGGGGACCCACATTTTCCAACCAGCACTGCCCATGCCATCTGCTTACCCAGGATCAGGTCTGTGATTCTGAGGGGCTCGGGGTAGCCCCACATGGTATCCCGTTTCCCTTGGGGAATGGAAATAAAGTCACCCTCTCTCAGGGGGCGGAGGGGGGTTCGGTCATATGTCACTCAGGGGCGTGGCTTTGTCTCATGCCCAGTTGTACCGATGTCAGGTTGTGGTGCAGAGCAGACCTCAGATAATTGCGCTTGGTTTATGGAAAGTCAGCTCCAGGGCCCCTTCCTGAAAGCCACAGCAGAGACCCCTTCCCTGCTCCCCATTCCCTTCCCCTGGGCTTGCAGCCATTGTGCGGCCTGCCCCCCACCCCTGCCTTCCTGCGCCCCCATTCCCCACCCTCTCCCTACATTCCAGCCCTCTGCCAAGCACATCCCCCGCCACCCTGCACACACAGCCCTCCTAGATCCCTGCACCCGTTCCCCTGCAGCCCTTCCCTCCCACTCCTGTCACCTTTGCAGCCCTTCCCCATCTGGCCTCCCATTCCCCCCTGGCACTCCCTCCTTTCCCAGATCCCTGCACCCCAGTCCTCTGGTAACCCCTCTCAGATCCCCTCCTCACCCCATTCCCCTGGCATCCCTACAGCTGATGCCTCTGTGCCCCACTCCTCCCAGTCACATTTCCTTGAGCATGGCCAGATCCTGCTCCTGCTCCTGGCAGAGGCTGACGCACACGCCTGGCCCAGCTCTGTGGGCAGCGCAGCGTTCGGCTGCTCCGGGTTGGGCACCTTCTCGCTGCAGCTGGCACAGCCCTGCCTTGTCCCTGCTGTGCGTGGCCAGGAACTCCTGGTTCAAGGCTTCAGCCACCCGAAGTCCAAGTTTCTCAGGCCAGACAGGCCGGGATGCTGCAGCACATGGAGCCCTGGCATGAGTCCCTGAAGTGCCTGGCAGAGAGGAGAGGTTCAGGAAAACGCTGAGAGGCGTTGGGAGGGGTGGAAGGTGGAGGCAGGGGCTGCTTAGCTCAGAGAGGGATTGTGTTAGGGAAGGATGAGAGCCCTCCTGCCATCAGGCGAAACACTCCATCGAACTCCCACCCGAACGAGCGCTCGCTGGCCGTTGGCCCCGAACGAGCGTCTCCCCAGGGCTGAGCGGGTCTCACTGTCTCTTGTGCAGAGAGATGTGGTCCCATCTCTGGGTCTGTTCTGTGGAGACCAGGATGGTCTGGCTCAGCAGGACGGAGTTAAGGGGTGCCCTTGCTGCCAGAAAGATGAGGCTCAGTGGTATGTCACCAAGGGGGTCCCGACCAGAAAACCCATTACACAGCATTAAGTGTTTATATTTTTATTATTTCTGACTTTTTCCTCGACTCCGGTGTATATACGGAGGCTCTCAAGGAGGACAGTCGATGTATCTTGGCTCTCGTCTCCTGGTGGGTTTTGTTGGCTTTCTTCAGTCACTTGGCCAAGAGGTTTGCATCTTCTGCTGCTTCCTCCTCGTCCTTCTCAGTGTTGTTGCCTCTTGAGAGCAAGAAGTCTGAGTCTCTCTTGGAGCACTCGGGGAATTAGCAATGGTTGGAGCTTAGGAGCCTTGGTCCAGAGTTTCTTGCCTTCCTTTCGCAGGGGTTTGTTCACTGCATATTGACCAACATCATCTGTTCTGGAACGGTAGAACAGCTGGCAGATTCTGCCAGCCCTCTTGGGACCAAGTTGAGGAGGCCCCGTGGGATCTATCGGGTCAGGAATCCCCCACAACTGAATCTTCTCGAACTCCTGTTTCCCCATCTCCATCTTCTCCTCCTCCCATCTCCTCCACCTCCATCTCCTCCACATCGCTGCTGTCGGGGTGCTCCTGGAGCTGGGGCTTTGCCAGGGCACTGGCCCCTTGACCGCCTACTGCCCCATATTGACCCCCAGCAGCACCTCCCGTTAGCACTGCAGGTGCAATCCAAACACAGAACCCAGCCAGGGGAGGGGGCAGAGCGCACAGAGGATTGTGCTGCTCACACAGGCAGGAGCAGGGAGGCGAAAACCTCCCCCCACTGACACTGTGCCTGGCTCCGCTGCCATGAGGCTGCCCCGCGGGCTGCGTTGCCTGGGCAGGGGGAGAAGCTGACGGCTCCATCTGCCGCAGGAGTCCTTGAAGCAGCCCGAGCCTAGAACAACAGAGCCCGGCTCGGGCAGGATCGGGGCCCTCGAAGCGCGCTAAAAGCAAGTCCTGCCAGGAGCCCGGCTTCGGCTGAAGCCCGCTGGGCTGTTCTCGCAGCCGCCCGTTCCCTGGCTCACTTGGGTCAACGAGCCCAGCGCGATAGACAACAGAGCCTCCACTTCCCTAGGAGTTGCTCTCAATCAAATCAGCTCCATTCATTAAGAACAGGGAACGGCGCAGCCTGTATTTATCCATTGCTGAGAACCACCCCGCCCCTGGGCGGAGCCAAGCAGGGAACTGCGGGAACCTGCCCACGCGCGCTCGTTCGCAACGCGTGCTCGTTCGTTCGTAAATCAGGAGGCGTTTCCATTAGCAGTAGGTTTAAAGCTCCACCAATCAGGTGACAAACTATCCCTGATCCCTGGCGCACACACCGCCAATGCCACCCCTCCCCATCCCTTATACAAGCGGCTTTCCATGGGGCCGGGGGACCAGCCAGGGTCCCCACGGAGAGAGACTTTTCCTTTCATCTGCCAATACTGGAACGCTGTGATCTGCCCCGTCACAATTCTTTACTTGAAAGACCCCAGGGGTTATTCTGAAAGGAACTCACCCGATCCCAGACTGGTTCAGAGAGAGGACCCACCGGTGGTCACCCGAGCCAAACACCATCTGCTGGAATGAGCTGGTCTCTGAGCTGAACCTGAGGTGGGGAGAGAAGAGATCCTCTAAAGAATCACTAGGATACAGAGCCAGGACTTGGTTCAGGGTTTCAGTTCATATGACTTAGAGGCGACTGAATACGAATGATACTTATCTGATGGGCCAGTGCTCAGGGAGAGTTCGTCCATATGCCCCAGGGACCTTCCTACAAAGGAAGTAACAGAATGTTACTAAACAAAACCATTCACATAGTCTGTTGGAAGGAGACGTCCGGGATGTTTCCGGATGTACCTAGTAGGGATAAAGGGGTGTTGAGCATCAAGGTCCAGATCCGCAAATGGACTTAGATGCCTAAAGTCCAGATTTAGGCACAACTGTGATCCACAAACTCCTGCTCGGCCGTCTCCTCGCCCTGTAGGCGCCTACGCTCACTCGGTGCCTACACTGTCCCTGTCAATGTCCTCCCGCTGCTACGTTCCTGCCTCTGAGCATGTGCCCTGCTGCCTTCCATGTGACTGTTATCCCAGGGGTTAGGGCACTCACCCAGGATGTGGGAGACCCAGGTTCAAGCCCCCCGCCTGCCTGATGAGAAGCAGGGCTCTGACCAGGTTCCACACCTCTCAGGAGAGCGCTGTAAGCACTGAGCTAGGGGCTGGTCAGATGTGGGGGCTCCCTCGGTCCCCGCTGAAGTTGTTCCACTTTCATTTAACAGCAATCGAGCCAGGGAAAAGGTGAGTCACACCCTACAGCCCAGGGGTTGGGGCACTCACCGGAGAGGTGGGGAACCCTTAGTCAAATCCCTTCTCCGCATGCAGAGGGGGGACTTGAACCAGGTCTCACAGTGCCTGGCTGAGTGCCCGCACCCCCCCCAGCTGCTCTGTGTGGGGCGAGGCAGGTGCCTGAACCACTCTCACAAGAAACGACTTGGGCAGCTAAGCAGCCTGACTCCGGGAAAGGGGTTCCCAGCTGGGACTGGCTAGAAGCTCTAGCGCCGCCCTGCTGCCCAGACTCAGGTGCTGAACTCTGGGGTGGATGGGAGGGGCTTGGCCCACACCCCCTTCATTGGCATCTCCCATTGGCTCCCTTAGGCGGCTCCTTGCCTAGGCGTGCTGGCTTCTGTGGACCCCATTCTTAGGTGCCCCCCTCCCCCCAATCACTGTACAGGGACCTGGGCATCTGACTCAGGCTTGGTGGAGCCCAGTGATTTCCCAGGCACCTATTGCAATGTCTCAGTACCTTTGCGGCCTGGGGATTTTATCCCCCAAATGACAAATTGTCTAGTTCAGAGAAGGAATCTCAGGGCAAATCTCACCCATAGTTTTAATTCATGCTAATTCGAGGGCAGTGACATCCCCTCCCCGCACCAATAGGCACACAGGATTCTTAAGGAACACCACAATTAAAAACACTACTACTAAAATGGTCATAACAATGCACACAACCAGCACACAATGGTTACATCAGTTACACACACGTGCACATGCATGGAGAGCTATGAACGATTTCCCCTCTGAGAATGGAGCTGCCCTGCTGGGACACTTTCTTTTAGTTACATTCACAGATTGAGGCCAGAAGGGACCATCAGATCATCTTGTCTGACCTCCTGGATTCCTGCATCCAGCCCATAACTCCTGTGTGCAAAGGAGGAATATTATCCCCATGTCACAGATGGGGACCTGAGCCCCAGGGAGAGCAAGTGACTCTCCCAAGTCACACACAAGGAGTCAGTGGCAGAGACTGGAAATGAACCCGGATCTACTGAGGCCCTGTCCAGAGCCTGGACTATCACCTGAACTTTCCTCTCTGGTAGAACCCAGGAGCCCAGCGCCCTAAGTTAATATATTGTGTCTTATTTCCACAAATCAGTGATGAATTCAGTTTTAGTGTCTCTCAGAACTAAAGCAGTTCACAGAGGAGCAAAGGGATTTGGTTTGAGGGTTGGTGACTCCTGTGAGGTTATCCAGGATAAACACAGGTCATAAATGGGCAGAGGTAAGTGAGTTAACTAAGTTCTATGAAACTGAAGACAGGGTTTAACTTACTTAAAAGAAGTAATTCAAGAGTCACTCATTTAGAATAGCGAAGGTTCTTATAAACCAAACAACTCACTTCAAGAAAACGCCTTGAAACAGGGCAAAGGATGAAATTTTTTTTTTTTTTTTAAGATTAAATCTCACTTTTTGGTTTACAAGGGTAACCTCTTAAACCTACAGGGTCAAGACAATTTGGTGTTTAAAAAAG